ACCCGGGAGAGCCAGTTGAAAGTGTCCCCTGTCACCCTGAACCTGGACAGCCAGGTGTGTGTCCCTGGTCACCCTGAACCTGGACAGCCAGGTGAGAGTGTCCCCTGTCACCCTGAGCCTGGACAGCCAGGTGTGTGTCCCCTGTCACCCTGAGCCTGGACAGCCAGGTGTGTGTCCCTGGTCACCCTGACCCTGAATCCAGGTCCCCTGCCATCCCCGGGCTCCCCATGGAGATGACACCCCTCTCTGCCCCCCCACCAGCAGGTTCTCCATGCCCAGCCCTCATGTCCAGCTTCAGCCACCCTGGGCACTTGGGTGCCATGGAGAGGGGCAGCCCAGAGTCCCCCCAGCTCCTCCCAGCCCATCTGGGTTCCTGGGGAGCAGATCCAGGGCTTCCAGCAGGATAAAAATCCTGGATGTGACGGTTCAGCCTCAGCCAGTTCTGACAGCTCACTTTGGGGTTGGGGTCCAGCCTGGTTTGGGGTTGGCGCTGGTGTCCCTGGGACCCCTCCGAGCGCTGCCTTTCCCCCCATCCAGAACGAGGTGCTCAACCGGCAGATCCAGAAGGAGATCTGGCGGATCCAGGACGTGATGGAGGGGCTGAGGAAGAACAACCCCTCCCGTGGCACCGACACCGCCAAGCACAGAGGTGAGGGGGGGCTGTCCCTGCCTGGGGCATCCCTGGTGGGCTCCTGCTCCGGGAGGTGAAGGCCCTCATTATCTTATAATTATCTTATAATTAATTATCTTACCATTATCTCATTCCTGCTCTTCTCCACAGTGGCCCTGGGCCCCTCAGGCACGTACAGCTCCAACAGCCCCGCCAGCCCCCTGAGCTCTGCCAGCCTCACCAGCCCCCTGAGCCCCTTCTCCCTCATCTCCGGCTCCCAGGGATCGCCCACCAAGCCCGGCCCTGGCGAGGTCAGTGACCCTGGCTGTCCCCTCTCGGCCACCAGCGGGGCATTGGGGGCTGCTGGCCACCGGGCACGGAGCTGCCTCCCCTCGTGGCTCTGCTGGGGACACTGTTTTGGTGACATGGATGGGCCCTGGTGTCACCCGGTGACTTTGGGCTCCGTGGTCCTTGCAGGGCTGTGGGTCCGGAGGGACGGGAGTTGCTCAGCTCCAGTTTTTTTCCAGGAGCAGCTCCTGGTGCCACCACAGCCGCTCTGAGTGCCCTCACCCAGGGCTGCTGCCACCTCCACGCACAGGACATCTGTTTAGGGCAGAATTTGGGAACTCCCCAGCTCCAGAGGTGCCCCCAAGAGCTGCCAAGAACCCTTGGGCAGCCCACAAGCCCTGCCTGGCCCCGGGGACGAGTCGCAGGATGTGGGACAGCCAGGGGGACACCCCGGAGTCACCCCCTCCTCCATCCCTTTCTCCAGGACGCTCCCGCCGTGTTTCACCTCATTCTCTCTTTTCTAACTCTCTGTTCCTTCTCTGCTCTCACGCCTCCCGCTCCTGCCCGCCCCAGGAACCAGGCCCGCCTCGACCTCCCCTCCCCAAGTCCTACGTCCCCCTGGAGTCTCCTCCGGCCGTTCCTCCGCTCCCCAGCGAGAGCCGCCTCTGGCCCTACCCTGCCTCCCCTTCCTGGCACCAAGGAGAGGCCAAGCGGGGACAGGTACCGAACCCTGCGGGGTCTTCCTCCTCCTCCTCCTCCTCCTCGTGACACGGAAGGCGCTGGGATGAGGCAGGAGCCGGAGCTTCCCGCCCCAAATCCACAAGGATGGCGTGGAGGTGGCGCTTGGCGTGGGGACAGCTCTGCGAGCTGCAGCCCTGACACCCCTCCGGTGTCCCCAGCAGGTCACCACGGCCTGTGCGCGCTCAGGACAGGGATTGTCCCCTCCTCCTCCTCCTCCCCCTGGGGAGGTTGTCCCTGGTTGTCCCCTCTGCTTTGCTCTGCCCTCACCTCTGTCACTGTCCTTCCGCGTCACTGCTCCCCACAGGGTGATGGCAGGAATTCCTGGTGCCACCTCGGCTGTGTGGGGGGGACACGGGTGACACAAGCGTCCTCACAGCCGAGGGTTGGGATGGGTGACCGTGGAAAAGCAGCGGCTGTGCCGAGCTGGGAAGGGACACGGTGCCAGCGCAGGTGGCACTTCCAGCTGCCATGGGTGGACACTTCCAGCCACCATGAGTGGCACTTCCAGCCGCTGTGGGTGGCACTTCCAGCCACGAGTGGCACTTCCAGCTGCCATGGGTGGCACAGCGGTGGCTGTACGTGGATCCAGGGGTGTCATGTGCACGCAGGGGGACACACAGGGCTGCTGTCACATCCCTCTGTCACCCCAGCAGTTCCTGGGCTGTTCCCATGGGATGCAAGAGGGGGAGGACCCCAAAAATGTCCCTTTGCTGGCTCTCATGTCCATGTGTGACCCCATGGGCACGGGAGCCCAGCACAGAGCCAGGATGTCCCTGTCCCTCAGCTCCTGGTGGCCGTGGAGGGATTGTCACCCTGTAAGAACCTTTGTCCCCTCCTGTGGGGACAGGAGTGGGGACAGCCCAGCCCTGGCAGGATGTGACATAGCAGGGACAAGAGCAGAGCCCCCTCAGCCCCTGTCCCCACAGTTTCGGGGTGCTCTGGTCCCACCTGGCTGCTGTCCGTGTGTCCATGGTGTGTTTGTCACCCCAAGAGCAGCAGGTGTCCCCTGTCCGTGTGTCCATGCTGTCACCCCAAGAGCAGCGGGTGTCCCCTGTCCGTGTGTCCCTGATCTGTCACCCCAAGAGCAGCGGGTGTCCCCTGTCCGTGTGTCCATGCTGTCACCCCAAGAGCAGCAGGTGTCCCCTGTCCGTGTGTCCCTGATCTGTCACCCCAAGAGCAGCAGGTGTCCCCTGTCTGTGTGTCCATGCTGTCACCCCAAGAGCAGCGGGTGTCCCCTGTCCGTGTGTCCATGCTGTCACCCCAAGAGCAGCAGGTGTCCCCTGTCCGTGTGTCCATGCTGTCACCCCAAGAGCAGCGGGTGTCCCCAGGCAGAGCGTGCCCCCCCGGAGGAATGGGGCTCACTGGGGACCTTTCCCCCCCCTCCACAGCCCAAACCAGGCTTCGAGCAGAGCAAGAAGGAGCCCCCCCGGCCGAGCCCCCCCGGCCCCGCGCCCGAGGCGCTCCCGCAGAGCCTGCCCGAGCAGGACGGGGACAAACAAGCGGCTCTCAACAAGGGTACGGCACTGGGGACACCCCGCAGGACCCCGGGGGTGGCACCGGGACCCTGCCCCGGCTTATCCCGGCATTGTGGTCTCCCCCGCAGTGGGAATCGTCCCCCCCAGGACCAAGTCTCCGGCGGAGGACGAGGCGGTGCCCAGGAGGAACGGCCTGGCCAACGGGCTGGGCTCCCGGGTAGGGCTCGGCTGGAGGGGCCGGGAGCTCGGCTGGGGGGGTCTGGGTGAACCCAGCGGGGCTCTGCTGCAGCCTGGGGACAGGAGCCTGTGGCTGTGTGGCTCCGTGTGCCACCATCCACCTCCTGGAGACCCCCAGGCTGAATTCAGCACCTTCCCTGCTCCCGGGAGTGACATCCCGGGAGTGACATCCCGGGAGTGACAGCTCAGCGGCTCCCGGCAGAGGGGGGTGGCACTGGGAGGATGTGGCCGGCCACCAGTGGGTCACCGTGGGGCTGGGACTCGTCCCCAGGAGAGACCCAAGAGCGCCGTGTTCGCCACCGAGACCAAGGTGAAGATGAGCGTGGAGGAGCAGATGGACCGCATGAAGCGGCACCAGAGCGGCTCCATGAAGGAGAAGCGGCGCAGCCTGCAGCTCCCCGGCCCCCAGCAGCTCCCCGGCCCCCAGCCCGACCCCCCCGGCACCAAAACCCCCGCTTCCTACAAGGTGGTGAGTCCCTGAGCGCGGCCGGGGGAGCGGCGGGGACACCGCGGGGTGGCACAGGGGACAACGCGCGTGCCCGCTCCGTGGGGACGCTGAGCGGGGCGCGGTCCCTCGCAGGTGAGGCGACACCGCAGCATCCACGAGGTGGACATCTCGGACCTGGAGGCCGCGCTGCGCTCCGACGAGCCGGGTAAGGTGTACGAGACACCGCAGGAGGAGATCGCCCGGCTGCGCAAGATGGAGCTGGAGCCGCAGCACTACGACGTGGACATCAACAAGGAGGTGAGGACGGGATGTCCCCGAGTGTCCCTCAGCGCGGTCACAGCGTCCCCCCGCCTCGGGCAGCATCCTGGAGCTGTGTCCAGGCGGGGTTTGGGGGTGGCACAGGGCACTTCCTCAGCTCGCCCCACTGTCCCCAGCTGTCCACGCCGGACAAAGTCCTGATCCCTGAGCGCTACGTGGAGCTGGAGCCGGAATCGCCCCTCAGCCCCGAGGAGATGAAGGAGAAGCAGAAGAAGGTGGAAAGGATCAAGACCCTCATTGCCAAATCCAGGTGAGGCTGCAGTGCCCACGCCGGCCGTGCCAGGGGTCATCCTGAGGGGAACTGACCACCCACCTCCATCCCTTCCCTGGCCATTCCGAGACCACCCATCCACCTCCACCCCTTCCCCGCCCATCCCAGGGCACCACCCCTCTCCACCCTTCCCATCCCACCCCGGGGGTCCTGGCGGGGGTGCTGACCCCAGGTGCCGTTCCCAGCCTGCAGAACGTCATCCCCCTGGGCGAGGGGGAGGTGGACACCCCCCAGGACCCTGAGGTGCAGCTGCAGGAGCAGGAGAAGAGGATCGAGATCTCGTGTGCCCTGGCTGCCGAGGCCTCGCGCCGCGGCCGGATGCTGTCGGGTGAGGAATGGAGGGCTTGGAGGGGCGGATCCTGCAGATCCCTGGGAGACTGAGGTGCCAAGGGGGCAGGAGAGGGAAAGCAGGTGCGGATTTGGCAGCATGGCAAGGGGTCAGCGAGCAGGAGAGGGGTCAGCCTTGGGTGATGCCAACAGCTCCTGCCCTCCCCGAGATCCCGGGATGGAGCAGCAATTCCAGCCGGGCACGGCTTCCAGCGCCTCGTGGGGAGCGTTTGCGAGGGTGGGAGCTCCTGGCGGGGTGACAGGAGGGTGGCATGCGATGGCTTCAGGTGGCACGGCGCGGCTGAGCAAGCACGGTGGCACCCCGTGCAGGGAGGTTGTGGCGGCACCCCATGGCCAGGGAATTGTGGTGTCACCCCGTGCCGGAGGGGTTGTGGTGGCATGGGCTGGCACCTTGTGGCCACGCATGGCGATGCTGGGGCGGGGGGATGCTGGTGGCGCGCCGTGCCCAGGTGAGCATGGTGACATCGTGTAGCCGGCTGCCCGCGGTGCCACACCGTGCCTTGTCCATGAGGAGCCCGGCCGGGAGCTCACGTGTGCGTGCTGTGCCCAGCGGTGGCTCTGTCCTTCTGCCAGCTGTGACTGTGTCCTTCCTGCCAGCTGTGGCTCTGTCCTGCCAGCTGTGCCTGCCTGTCCTGCCCAGCTGTGGCTCTGTCCTTCTGCCAGCTGTGACTGTGTCCTTCTTCCAGCTGTGACTGTGCCCTGCCAGCTGTGCCTGCCTGTCCTGCCCAGCTGTTGCTCTGTCCTTCTGCCAGCTGTGGTTTTGTCCTTCCTGCCCAGCTGTGCCTGCCTGTCCTGCCCGGCTGTGGCTCTGTCCTGCCAGCTGTGATCCACCCTGCCAGCTGTGACTGTGCCCTGCCAGCTGTGCCTCCGTCCAACTGTCCCCTACCCACACTTGCTTCCCTCCTTCCCTCCCTCCCTGCCCCTGCCCTCTCCCCTCTGCCCTCTCCCCGCTGCCCCCGTCCTTCACGCCCCTCTCCCGTTTCTCCTTTCCAGCTCAGTGCGCTACCCCCAGCCCTCCCACCTCCCCAGCCTCCCCGACTCCACCGACCAACCCCCTCTCGTCCGAGCCGCCCCGGGCCGCCGACAGCAGCCACCTCATGCGGGTGTGAGCCTGTGACGTAAGCACCTCTTCTCTCTGACGTCATCCCCCTCGCTGCCACGTCAGCCCCGGCTCCTCCATGGACCGAGTGTCCCCCCCTCCTCAAGCCAAGTCCCCATGGCCAAGGGGCCGTGAAGGGTGGAAAAAGGGGGGGCCCAGCATGAAAATTGAGGGGTGTGGGTGTGTCAGAGCCTCCCTGGGCCGAAATCCCCGCCGCGATTTCCACGGGGGGGGGTGGGCGCAGGGTGGAGCCCCCCCAGCTCAGCCCCTCTGTTCCCCCCACCCCAGCTCAAGCCCTGGCTGCTGCCGGCGCCATCAAGTTCCACGGGGCCACCTTTTAGTCCCCTCCGGCGGTGACAACGAACCTCTCGCCACCGTCCTCGGTTCTCCCGGACCCCCTTCCCTCCCTCCGGCAGCGACACCACCGGGAGGTGCGGCACCGACGGGAGCCCCCGTCCAAAGGAGACGGGTGGGGGCTGGGGGTTGTCCCCAAGGAGCCCCCAGGGCTGTCAGCGGCCACAGGGACACACCTGGACAGCTGTGACAGCGGCCACCGGCCCAGCGGCGAGCGCAGGACTCCTGGCACGGCCCCCCGAGGTCTGTGAAGGGGCTCTTGGCGTGGGGACCCGCCTGTCCCCGCCACGGGTGGTGCTCCCATCTTCCAGCGGACCTGGATGCTCCTCCTCGGCCCCTCGGGCGCCCTTTCCCTTCCCTGAGCTCTGATCCCGATTTTGGAACCCGTCTGTGCCACCACCGGTGGCTCAGCCGGAGGAGGAAGGGGACAGGACGGGTGGAGGTGGCTCCGGGGGGACACGGAGGTGCCCAGGGCGCCCCAAGGGCTCTCCGAGCGCGGGGTGGGAGCTCTGGGCAGGGATGGGGACGTTGGATGGGAGCAGAGCAGGGAATTGGGGCGCCAGGTGGGATAACGGAGCTGTGGGGTCGGCAAGGACCCCCCCCTGGAGGGTGGGGACGGTGCTGAGGAGGGGTTTGGGGACAGCAGGGTCACCTGGGCTGCCCCCGTCCCGCTGTCACCCTCCAAAAATCCCTTTCCTCGGCTCTCCAGCCCCTTCCAGCGGTTCGGATCTCCTGTAGCAAATTCCCCTTTTCTTTATCATCCTGGAGGGTGGGATAAAAGCAGAATCCCTGGAAGGATGTGAGGGTGGCAGGGAGGACGGAGCCAGGAGCTGGATCCCAAATCCCAAATCCCACCCATCCCTCCTGGCCCGATCCCAAACCCCCCCAGGACCTCCCTGCATCCCAATCCCAATTTAGCAATACTTGTAGGATCCCTGGAGCCCTAAATCCCGCTTCCCCAGCCTCCCTCAGCCCCTTTAGCTCATAAAGCTGGCCCTTTATTTTGCTATTTACATGCCTTAATATATGTTTGATGGAAATTCTACATTTATAATATATATCTATATTTGGTTTTCCTCTTCTTTTCCCGGGAAAAAAAAGCTCGTGCCGAGCTCTCTCTTCTCCGCAGGATTTGTTGGCGCCAGCCCTGCCAACAACAACAACAAAAAAAGATTCTTTGCCAATTTATCAGAGGGGGGAGGAAATAATAATAATAAATATAAAATAAATTTAAAAAAAACCAAAAAAGAAGGAAAAAAAAAAAAGGAAAAAAACCTATTTAAAAATATATATCTATTTTTTCTGCTTTTATTAAAAGCAAATTTATTTAAAATAAAATATACAGAGACTGTAAGTTTGAAGAGAGGATGAGTTTATTTTCCCTGTGTCCCCTCTCGGGTCACTGGGGCAGACCCCCCCCCCTTACTCTGGGGACACCTTGGGGACATCCTGGGGTGGCTGTGGGGCAGCAATTCCCATCTCCAGGATCCAGAGAGGATGAGGAGCATCCCAAAGCTCCCATCCCGCCCTTCCCAAAGCCACGGGCTGCTGTCCCCAGGGCGTGACCCGGCTGCGATTTTATTTTATTTTAAATAATAATAATAATAATAATAATAATAATAAAGGAAACCTTAATTAATTAATTTTATTTTGGTTATTATTTTTCATAAACACTTCATAATGCAGTGACTTGTTAACCCGGGAAGGATTTGCATCGGGAGGAAATAAATCTATTTATGCATTCGGGGAGGGTGGGATGGGAGGGATTTGGTTTTCTGGGATATTTTCCTAGCCGTAGAGAAATAAAAATATCTATGAAACAACGATGTTTTCCTGTCTTTTTTCTTTTCCCGGGGTGAGTTTGGATATGGATTTTAATGTTGGCTTGGAGAAGCAGAGGGTGCTGGGGCTCCAGAGGCAGCGCCTCTTCCCTCTCCCTGATTTTTTGGGATTTGTTTTCCCACCAGGGTTGGTTTTGGTGCTTGTGAAGGGATAAAATTCCCATCCCGGGGCTGTTTGTGGGGTAAATTTTGGGAATGGCTGGGTTTGGGTGGCTCTGGGGTGACAGAGGTGACACAGGGACCCTGTGCTGGCTTTGGGGGAGCCGGTATTCCCACACCTACCAGCAAATCCCGGGAACCTCGGCATTCCCAAAACTCTGCCATGGAGCAGCCTGGGATCCATGGGATCCATGGGAATGCACGTGGACTCCTGGGGACACTGCAGGGACCTCTGCCGTCCCCTCGGTGCCACTCGGCCACCCCAGAGAAGCCGCAATCTCCCTGTTTTCCCTATTTAAGGGATCCATCCCTTCCCATCCAGACAACTCGTTCCACCATGAGCCACCGTGTCCCCCCTGGAGCCACTGTGTCCCTATGGAACCACTGCGTCCCCTCTGGAGCCACCATGTCCCCTGAAGCCACTGTGTCCCTTTTGGAGCCACCATGTGTCCCTTCCAGAGCCACCATGTCCCCTGAAGCCCCCATGTGTCCCCTGAAGCCACCATGTCCCTATGGAACCACCGTGTCCCCCCTGGAGCCACCATGTCCCTTTTTGAGCCACTGTGTTCCCTGCAGCCACCACGTCCCTCTGGAACCACAATGTCCCCTCCAGAGCCACCATGTCCCTTTTGGAGCCACCATGTCCCCCTGCAGCCACCATGTCCCCTGAGGCCACCATGTGTCCCCTGAAGCCACCATGTCCCCTGAAGTCACCATGTCCTCTGAAGCCACAGTGTGTCCCCTGAGGCCACCATGTCCCCTGAGGCCACCATGTGTCCCCTGAAGCCACCATGTCCCCTGAAGCCACCATGTCCCCTCAAGTCACCGTGTGTCCCCTGAAGCTACCGTGTGTCCCCTGGAGCTCCCGTGTGTCCCCTGAAGCCACCATGTCCCCTGAAGTCACCATGTCCTCTGAAGCCACAGTGTGTCCCCTGAGGCCACCATGTCCCCTGAGGCCACCATGTGTCCCCTGAAGCCACCATGTCCCCTGAAGCCACCATGTCCCCTGAAGTCACCGTGTGTCCCCTGAAGCTACCGTGTGTCCCCTGAAGCTCCTGTGTGTCCCCTGAAGCCACCATGTGTCCCCTGAAGCCACCGTGTGTCCCCTGAAGCCCCTATGTGTCCCCTGAAGCCACCGTGTCCCCTGAAGCCACCATGTGTCCCCTGAAGCCACCATGTCCCCTGAAGCCACCATGTGTCCCCTGAAGCCACCGTGTGTCCCCTGAAGCCCCCGTGTGTCCCCTGAAGCCACCATGTGTCCCCTGAAGCCACCCGTGTGTCCCCCTGCAGCCACCATGTGCCCCCTGAAGCCACCATGTCCCCTGAAGCCACCATGTGTCCTCTGAAGCCACCATGTCCCCTGAGGCCACCATGTGTCCCCTGAAGCCACCATGTCCCCTGAAGTCACCGTGTGTCCCCTGAAGCTACCGTGTGTCCCCTGAAGCTCCTGTGTGTCCCCTGAAGCCACCATGTGTCCCCTGAAGCCACCATGTGTCCCCTGAAGCCACCGTGTGTCCCCTGAAGCCACCGTGTCCCCCGGCGGTGGCTCTGTGGGCGTTCCCGGGGCCGTTAATGATTCCCAGGATGACGTGGGGACTAAAGGGCTTTTCCAAGGGTCACTCTGGAAGTGGCCCTTGCCCGGCCTCGCCCGGCCCCGTCACCGCCAAGATGGTGTCCCTGAGCGACTTCCAGCGTAAGCAGGCATGGGGTGGCCGTGTCCCGGCGGGAATTCCTGTCCCAGCTGGAATTCCTGTCCCAGCTGGAATTCCCATCCCAGCTGGAATTCCCATCCTGCGGGATCTGGGAGCTCCGTGGGGACGTTTGGCAGCTCCCAGTCCCATCTGGATGGGGTGGTTGGGGCAGGGAGGGGTGGGATGGAGAAGGGGATGGGCTGGGGGTGGGGAGGTTTTCCAGGATCATCCAGGGATCATCTCCAGCCTTTCCTGGAGGGAAAGGGAAAAGGGAAAGGCTGGATGGGGTTTTCCTGGTGATCTTTCCTTTGTGGTTCCTGATTTATCCAGTGGCCTCAGGGGTTTCTGGGGCCTCCTCCAGGCCTGTGCCAAGGCTGTTCCTGAGGTCTGGGAAAAAATCCAAAGGGTATTTTTTGGGAAGGAACGGGATAGGGAGGTGCTGGGAGCCGGGGTGTGGAGTCGAGTCTTTGCCCCTGCTCTCCCGTTTTCCACAGGGATCGGAGTGGGCCTGGTCGGCTTCGGCCTCTTCTTCCTCCTCTTTGGGATCCTCCTGTACTTCGACTCGGTGCTCCTGGCTTTTGGGAACGTGAGTAGGCCTGGGCTGGGCGTCCCCACAGCCGGGACAAGGAGCTGCACTGACCCTGTCCCTTCTCTCCTCCCAGCTCCTCTTCCTCTCCGGCTTGGTCTTCATCATCGGCTTCCGGAGGACCTTCACCTTCTTCTTCCAGCGGTCCAAGCTGAAGGGCACCAGCTTCTTCTTCGGAGGGCTCATCGTGGTCCTCATGCGGTGGCCAATCCTGGGGATGCTGCTGGAGGCCTATGGATTCATCTCCCTCTTCAGGTGCAGGATGGGATCCTCGGGATGGGATCCTCAGGATGGGATCCTCAGGATGAGATCCTCAGGATGGGATCCACAGGATGAGATCCCTGGGATGGGATCCTCAGGATGGGATCCACAGGATGAGATCCTCAGGATGGGATCCTCAGGATGAGATCCTCAGGATGGGATCCACAGGATGGGATCCACAGGATGAGATCCCTGGGATGGGATCCTCAGGATGGGATCCTCAGGATGAGATCCTCAGGATGGGATCCACAGGATGGGATCCACAGGATGGGATCCCTGGGATGGGATCCTCAGGATGGGATCCTCAGGATGAGATCCTCAGGATGGGATCCACAGGATGGGATCCACAGGATGAGATCCCTGGGATGGGATCCTCAGGATGGGATCCTTGGATGGGATCCTCAGGATGAGATCCCTGGGGTGGGATCCTTGGATGGGATCCTCAAGCTGCAGCCTGGGTTTGGAGGATGCTCCCCGGAGCTCAGCAGGGCCTTTTGTGTCCACACAGGAGCTTCTTCCCAGTGGCTTTCGGGTTCTTGGGCTCGCTGGCAAACATCCCCCTGCTGAGCCAGGTGAGAAGGGGCTGAGGACCCCTCGGGACCCTCAATCCCTGGCTGGGATCCATCCCCATGGATTTGCAGAGGAAATGTCACCGTGGTGTCCCCAGAGCTGCTCGGGTGGGTTTTCCCGCTAATCCTGCTCTGTCCCTGTCGCAGCTCCTGCAGAAAATGGGGGACAGCGGCTCCATGGTGTGACCTGACCAGCCCTGGGTTGAGCGGCTGCGATGGGATGGGCTGAGAGAGCCCCAGGCCGGGCTGTCCCCAAGAGCTGGTGACTCTCTTGTCCCCAAGACCCTCAGTGCTGGCCAGAGCCACCCCCCAGCAGGGACAGTGTCCCCCTCCCTGTCCCACAGAGCTCCTGAGCCCGGCTCCAAGGTCTGAGGGCTGTACCAGGCTGGATTCTGGAATTCTTGCAGTTATTTAATATTTTTTTCTGTGAAAGACTTAATTTAATAAAAAAAAAAAGTGTGAGAGCAAGCCCAGACTCAGCTCCTTTCCCATGGCTTAGGGCTTGTCCCAGCACTGCACACCCCGATGTCACCAGGAGGCATCGTGGCCATGGCTGGAGGTGGCAGAGGGTGGCACAGGGACACTTCCATGGCTAGAGATGGCATGGGGACATTCCCATGGCTGGAGATGGCATGGGGACACTCCCATGGCTGGAGATGGCACGGGGACACTCCCGGGGCAGGAGATGGCACGGGGACACTCCCATGGCTGGAGATGGCATGGGGACACTCCCATGGCTGGAGATGGCATGGGGACATTCTCATGGCTGGAGATGGCATGGGGACACTCCCATGGCTGGAGATGGCATGGGGACATTCCCATGGCTGGAGATGGCATGGGGACACTCCCATGGCTGGAGATGGCATGGGGACACTCTCATGGCTGGAGATGGCATGGGGACACTCCCATGGCTGGAGATGGCATGGGGACACTCCCATGGCTGGAGGTGACACGGGGACATTCTTGGGGCAGGAGCTCCCCCAGCATCACCTCAGGTGAATTTAAGGGAGTTCTTCCTCCCAGGCTGCCGGAATTCCTCTCCCCAGGAGAGCCGGTTGGATACCTCGGCATCTCCACGGGCTGTGCTGGATCCCAGCCAGTTTCCAGCAGCGCTCGGGAGGCTGGAGTTTAATTAAACCCAAAAGCAATCACATCAAAGCTGCTCCCTCCGCAGAGAGCCCTCCTTAACGAGCAGGAATTAATTAACGACTTGGAGCTGAACCTGTTCCCTCCGGAGCCCCACGGGAGATGGCAGCTCTGTGCCTGTTGTCACCTGGACATCCCCATTGTCACCTGGTTGTGCTCATTGTCACCTGGTCATGCCCGTTGTCACCTGGCTGTGCCTGTTGTCACCTGGCCATACCTGTTGTCACCTGGCCATGCTCATTGTCAGCTGGCCATGCCTGCTGTCACCTGGCCATGCCTGTTGTCACCTGGTCATGCCTGTTGTCACCTGGCCATGCCTGTTGTCACCTGGTTGTGCCTGTTGTCACCCAGTCATACCTGTTGTCAACTGCCTGTGCCCCTTGTCACCTGGCTGTGCTCGTTGTCACCCGGTCATGCCTGTTGTCACCTGGTCATGCCCATTGTCACCCGGTCGTACCTGTTGTCACCTGGCCATGCCTGTTGTCACCCAGCCATGTCCAGAAAGACTTAATTTAATATGTTGTCACCTGGCCGTGCCTGTTGTCACCTGGCCATGCCTGTTGTCACCCGGTTGTGCCTGTTGTCACCACCCAACTGTGCTCCAGGTGAAATCAGGGCTGGGAGCAGCTCTGGGCTCATTTGGGCACCCAAATCCCAGCTCCGGGAAGGGGATCCCAGTTTTTGTGTGCTTTGATGGCAGCAGGAAGGGGAAATGAGATTCCTGGCAGGAATTTGGAGGCTTGGAATCTCCTCAGTGCCTCCGTTCCTGTGTTGCTTTGCTCCAGCTGAAAATTCCCAACTTTTCCTGCTGAGGATTCATTTTGAGGCCTCCACCAGGAGGAAGAGGAAGATTCCCAGAGGCAGCGTGTGCAGGATGAGGAGATTCCCGAGGTTTAGGGCTCCCATCCCTGTGGAAGCCACTGTGGAGGAGCAGGAAATGTGCCCAGGTGCTGGGAGGTGCCGTCACCTCTCCCTGCTGGGAAAACCAAACCAAGGATGAGGAGATTCCCTGGATGGCATTGAGGGATCACGGAACCATGGAAGGGTTTGGGATTTTAGGGATCTTAAAGCCCATCCCATCGCACTTGGGCCACTTTCCCTTACCCCAGCTTGCTCCAAACCCCACCCAGACATTTCCATGGAGCAGCCACAGCTTTTCCAGGCTTGGAACATCCGCAGGGAATGGCTGGGAGCTCCCTCAGCCGGAGCTCCTCTCCAGAAGATTTTTGCTGGGAATGTTTTCCCCCCCCGGCTCCGTAAATCCTCTCTCTGGCAGGGTTTTGGGTTCAGGCACAAGCTCTGGGTTTGCCCTGACGTCAATCCCCGAATTACCCTGGTGCCGGTGCCATCCAGAGCCTCCACTAAGCCCTTCCCAAAAGTTGTTTTTACCCCGGAGCTTTTTGGTCACCCGGAATGAGGATCCTCACAAGCCTCCTGTGTTTTCACAGCCAGTAAAAACCGGGATTAGGAAAGCTGGAAAATGCCAGGGAAGAGCAGAAATTCACCTCCTTTTCTCTGTGCTGCTCAAAAAAAAATCCCTCAAGAAATCTGAGCTGCTCAGCCAAACTTCCCAGTGATTTTTGTTTGGAACTGGAAGAGCTAAAAAATTCAGATTTTATTTTAAAGAAAGCACCCACTCACCCTGACAGGAGAGAGGAATGAATTTATCCATTGGGAAGGCGATTGTTCCTCTCTGGGAAATGCTTTCTTTCCATTCTCCCTGAAAAACAGGCAGGAAAATTACTGGGGAACAATTCCCTGATATTTCCAGAGGAGCTGCTCTTGATGGGCTCCGTAATCCGATAAAATCCCAGGATTTTGTGGAAAACTGCAGCAGGTTCCTCACATGGATCCACTTCTGCCTTTCCCTGACGCCCTGGAATATTCTGTGGTTGAAAATTCAAGTTAAAGGATGTTTTTGGGCTTCTTGGGAAGAGCTCAGGATCTTCCCTGTGGATCTGAAAGGTCGGGAATGAACCCAGCGTTGTCCCAGAGCTGCCCGATGTCCCTGTCCCCTTCTCTCCCGTGTCCCTGTCCTTCTAACCCCCCACAAAACCACATTTCCAGGTTTTTTAAACCTTTTCCATCCCAGCTTTGGCTCCAGGTTGGCAGAGGGGTCTGGGAAATTCCTTTTTCGGGGTTTTCTGGCACTGGGAAGGTGTCCCCAGATTCCTGGAGCTGGGACAGCCACCCCAGTGGCCACCCCAAAGCAGCAGCCCTTGGCTCTCTGATGGATTTGGGGAAGTCGCTTTTCCCCATTTCCCATCCAAAGGGGGTTTTGGGACCATCCCAGTGGCAGGGAAGGGTTGTCCCCCATCCCACAGCATTTCCCAGCTTATCCCCCTCTGGATTCCCCACAGGAGAGGGGTCCAGCCGTGCCTGACGGGACAAAGCCGTGCCCAGAGCATCCCAAATCCTCAGGGATCCTGCAGATGTGGCTGCCCTGGATCAGAAGGGATGGGAAACGTGGGATCCCCACGGCCCCACATCCCGGGACCCCTTTTTCCTTTGAAGTGCTGCCGCCCCCGCGGCTTTTCCAGTGGGGAGCGGAGCTTGGCAAAGCCGGCAGAGCCCGCGGGATGCCCGGGCAGGGATTTATGGCCGCGGGATCCCTGCCAGGCCCTGCGGCTCCTGACCCCGCTCCCTCCCCGCAACCTGTGCCGGGCCACGAGGCTCCCCGGAGTGACGCAGGGACACGGGTCCTGCGTGGGAAAAGACGTCAGGGATGGGGGCAGAGCCCCGTGAGGCTGAGCCCTGGGCTCAGCCGGGGTCAGCAGTGCCCTGGCAGCGAAATCCCACAGGGAATGAGGCGCTGAAGCCCCGGGTTTGGGGGCAAAGTTGTTTGGAGTTTTATGGGGTGTCCCCTGGACTGGGGTGACAAATCCCATGAACGGGAGGGTGATTGTGGGGCTGGGGGTGAATGTGTCCTCGGGGTTCATCCAAGAACATTTTTATTGCCTTTGCAGTCACTTCCCACCGAGATTCCCGAGGTCAGGAGACCCTGGGAGCCACGGGGCTGATCCAGCACCTCCCACCCCGGGCTGGGCACTGCCGGGGGGGGGACACGGCGACCTGGGGAGGGGCAGGGGCGTAGCTGGAGGCTCCTGAGGGATTCGAGCAGCGTCTCCCTTCCCAAACGCCAGGATCTGATCCCAAATGGAGCAGCTGTGATGAGTTCGGCCGTTCTCTGCTCCAAGCACCAGCCTTGGTTTAACGGCACTGGGGCTGGGGGTGCCCCCCAGCGCATCCCCCAAAAGGGCAGAGGGGGCTCGGGGGTCTTCGCTCTGTGTCTCCATGGCCAACAGGGCCGAGTGTCCCTTGCCGTTCCCATTCCCTTGGGGAGAATCCCATCATTCCCCTGCAGGTGGAGTTTGGGGACATCTCCTCGGCCAGGATGGCACCCAGACCTGTGCCAGCACCCAGCAGGGATTCGTGTCCCTCACACTGCGTGGAGTGATTCCTCAGCTCCGAGGAACGTGGGATCCCATCTCCCAAATATCCGCAGCTCCCCGTGTCCCATTCCCACTGGGCACACGGGGGGTTCTGGCTGTGTCATCCTCCCTGGGGACTGTCCCAACCTTCCCAGAGTTCTCCATGGCATTCCCAACCTTCCCAGTGTCCTCCATAGCATTCCCAACCCTCTCAGGGCTATCAATGGCATTCCCAACTTTTCCTGTGCTATCCACGGCATTCCCATCCTGCCCAAGTTCTCCATGGCATTCCCAACTTTTCCTGTGCTATCCACGGCATTCCCATCCTGCCCAAGTTCTCCATGGCATTCCCAACTTTTCCTGTGCTATCCACGGCATTCCCATCCTGCCCAAGTTCTCCATGGCATTCCCAACTTTTCCTGTGCTATCCACGGCATTCCCATCCTGCCCAAGTTCTCCATGGCATTCCCAAGATCCTCAGTGCTCTCCATGGCATTCCCAACTTTCCCATTGCTCTCCATGGCATTCCCAACCTTCCCAGTGTCCTCCATAGCATTCCCAACCTCCCCAGGGCTATCCATGGCATTCCCAACCTTCCTGGGGCTCTCTGTGGCATTCCCATCCTGCCCAAGTCCTCCATGGCATTCCCAACCTTTCTGGTGCTGTCCATGGCATTCCCAACCCTCCCAGAGTTCTCCATGGCATTCCCAAGAGCCTCAGTGCTCTCCATGGCATTCCCAACTTTTCCTGTGCTATCCACGGCATTCCCATCCTGCCCAAGTTCTCCATGGCATTCCCAACCCTCCCAGAGTTCTCCATGGCATTCCCAAGATCCTCAGTGCTCTCCATGGCATTCCCAACCTTTCTGGTGCTGTCCATGGCATTCCCAACCCTCCCAGAGTTATCCATGGCATTCCCAACCTTCCCGGTGTTATCCATGGCATTCCCAGCCCTGCCCCTGCCAGGGGAGGAGAATCCAGCCCGGATGGAGGATCCCGGGCTATAAAAGCTTCCTCCCCGCCGGGACGGGACGGGACGGAGCTGCCGGCACGGGCGGAGACAGCGGGGGACGCGATGGCAGCGGGAGCCAGCCGGAGGCTGCAGCGGTCCCTGCTGCTCCTGGCCCTCACCTGGGGCGCCACTTTTGTCCCCTGGCCAGCCCAGGCTTTGCAGAGGTAGCCCGAGCTCGTGTGGCCCTCACGGGGCTGTCCCCCCCTTTTATTCCCAGGGTCGGGTGAGGAGGGTGAGGGGCTTTGCTGCTTCATCCCCTTCCTCCTCCTCCTCCTCTCCTGCTCTTCCTCACTCCTCTCCCTCGAGCACCGCATGGTCACGATGCTGCTCCACGAGCCCGCGGGGGATTTTCCCAACCTAAAGATTTTCCCAACCTAAAGAATTTGGGAATCCCAAATAACCGGGTTTGGGGCCGGGCTCGGGGTCTGCGGGTGCCGCCCCCGCCCACCTGGGGCTCCCCACGCTGGGTGGGCTCGGGCTGGGAGCGGGACCCACGGGGAGCGGCGGGGAGCTGCTGCCATCTAGAGCCACCCGGCTGGAGCTCCCGAGGCTGGGAACGCCGCTGGAGGCTGCCGGGGGGCTGGGGGGGGATCCCCAGCTCTGTGCAATCCCCCCAGGATCGCCCTGCGAAGGATGCCCTCCATCCGCCAGACGCTGCAGGAGATGGGGGTGAAGGTGCGGGAGGTGTTCCCGGAGCTGCGCCGGGGCACACGCGGAGGAGGGGACGGTCCCCGCAACGGGACAGCTCCCACCCTGCTCACCAACTACCTGGATGTGAGTGGGGGGGTTTGTCACCCCCGATGTCACCCCACGCCCCAGCTGGGCTCGGTGCCGGCGCTTTCCCGCCCGAGCTGTGCCCCAGGGATGCTCCCCGTCCCCCCCAGACCCAATATTTCGGCGAGATCAGCATCGGGACCCCCGCGCAGACCTTCAAGGTGGTCTTTGACACGGGCTCGGCCAATTTGTGGGTGCCATCCTACAAGTGCTCCCCCCTCTACAGCGCCTGTGGTGAGTAGGGGAGCACGGCCGGGGCTGGGGGTGACCCCTCAAAACCTCAGCGAGTCCCCTGGGCTGCTCAGGGAGGGCTGGGGGGGTCTCTGTTGGTGTCCAGACCCCTGGCATTGAGGTGGGGTGGGTCCATTACACCCCACAGGGGATTTCGGGGGGGACAGAGATGCTCTGTGCCCCTCTGGGATGTCCCTTTTACCTGTCCCCAGTGTCGCACAGCCGCTACGACTCCTCCAAGTCGCGCACCTACATCGCCAACGGCACCGGCTTCGCCATCCGCTACGGCACCGGCAGCGTCAAAGGCGTCCTCAGCCAGGACATCGTCACGGTGAGCCCTGGCACCCACAGAATCCCCAAAATCCACACCTGGAACCCACAGAACCCCCAAAATCCACACCCTGTACCCACAGAATCCCCAAAATCCACACCTGGAATCCACAGGATCCCCAAAAATCCACGCACTGGGACTCACAGAACCCCCAAAATCCACACACCCTGTACCCCCAGAATCTCCTTAATCCACACCTGGAATCCACGGAATCCTCAAAATCCACACCTGGAACCCACAGAATCCCCAAAATCCACACCTGAAATCCACCAAATCCCCAAACCCCACACGCCTGGCTCAGCCAGGAAACATCTGAGGGTTTTTTTGGGGGGATGGGGTGGCTTTCCGCCCTTCCCATCGCCCCCCAATCCCCTCCGCGCTTCCCCGCAGGTGTCGGACATCCCGATCATCCAGGTGTTCGCCGAGGCCACGGCGCTGCCCGCCTTCCCCTTCATCTTCGCCAGGTTCGACGGCGTGCTGGGCATGGGCTACCCCGGGCAGGCCATCGATGGCATCACCCCCGTGTTCGACCGCATCCTGGCACAGCAGATCCTGCAGGAGGACGCGTTCTCCGTCTACTACAGCCGGTGGGTGCTGCGGGGGGCCGGGGACACCTTCGGGGGGCTGGGGACACCCGTGGGGAGCAGGGGACACGCGGGGGCCGGGGACACCCGTGGGGAGTAGGAGACACGCAGGGGGAGCAGGGGTTTGGGGGGTCACAACCGCGGCGGGGATCGGTTTGGGGGTTGGGGTTGGGGGGAGATGGGGATGGGGCAGGGGGAGATGGGGGGGAGGCAGGGGAGGAATGGGGGATCCTGGGGGAGGTGGGCAAGGAGGGAGTTGGGGATCCTGGGGGAGCTGGGCTGGGAAGGAGTGGAGAATCCTGGAGGAGTTGGGGTGGGAAGGAGTTTGGGATTCTGGAGGAGCTGGAGGGAAGGAATTGGGGATCCTGGAGGATCTGGAGAGGGAGGAAGTCTGGGATCGTGGAGGAGCTGGGCTGGGAAGGAGTTTGGGATCGTGGAGGAGCTGGGGAAGAATGAGGCACCACAAGAGGCAGAGAGGGCTGGACGCAGATCCGGAGCTGCCGGGCAGGGAGTGGTGTCAGCTCCGGTTTGTCACTGTCACTGCACAGCCACCAGCTCGGTGAGAGGGGCTGCAGCCATCCCAGCCTGGAGGGGCTTTGGTGCTTCTACAGGCAACATTTTTTAAAAATCAAAACAAAACAAAACAAAAAAAATCTATCTAAAACCCCCTGCACCAGCAGCCAAATCTTCCATTTCTTCCCCCAAACTGCTGAGCTCCTCCCAGTGTCCCCAAACGCAGTGGAGCAGTGGGAGCAGGAATTCTGCTCCACACCCCAGCACTCCCCACCGGCCCCAAAAACATCGACCCGGAGCCGTGCAGTGACAGAGAGACCCCAAACACACCCCAAAATCCCACTTGGTGCTGTTGGATCCCGGGGCAGCGCGGTGCCGCTGGAGCCCCCTGCGCCTCTGGGTGTCACCTGTGTCCCCTGGGGCCACCTGGAGCCTCACGGAGCCTCCCTCTCTTTGCAGCTCTTCCAAGTAAGAAGATCCAAAGCAGGAGCGCCCTCGAGGCCACCCGCTGCCAGCCCCCCGTGTCCCCCGGGTCCCCTGAGCCCCCTGCCAGCCCCGGGATGTCCTTCCCGGGTCCTGCCAGCATTCCTGACCCCCTCAGGGGCCACCGCACCCACCTGGAGCAGCTGTCACCTCCTGTCCCCGCAGGGCCAGCAGAGCCTCGTGGCTGGGGCTGCTCCCTCCGGGGCTGGGAATTTTGGGGAAAGGGGAATCGCTTCCTGCCGGGTTGGGAATTTTGGGGAAAGGGGAATCATTCTGTCTGGATGGGAATTTTGGGGAAAGGGGAATCGCTTCCCGCTGGGCTGGGAATTTTGGGGAAAGGGGAATCGTTTCCTGCCAGGCTAGAATTTTTGAGGAAAGGGAAATTGCTTCCTTCTGGGCTGGGAATTTTGGGGAAAGTGGAATTGCTCTGTCTGGGAATTTTGGGGAAAGGAGAATCACTCTGGCTGGGAATTTTGGGGAAAGGAGAATCGCTTCCTTCTGGGCTGGGAATTTTGGGAAAGGAGAATCGCTCTGGCTGGGAATTTTGGGGAAAGGAGAATCACTCTGGCTGGGAATTTTGGGGAAAGGATAATCGCTCTGGCTGGGATTTTTGGGGAAAGGAGAATAGCTTCCTTCTGGGCTGGGATTTTTGGGGAAAGGGGAATTGCTTCCTTCTGGGCTGGGAATTTTGGGGAAAGGGGAATCGCTCCCGCTGTATTTGGCTCGCCAGGAATTCTCCCCTGAAACCCGGCGGGGAAATCATCCTGGGAGGCAGCGACCCCGCCTATTACACCGGCGACTTCCACTACCTGAACGTCAGCAGGAGCGGCTTCTGGCAGATCAGCATGAAGGGGTGAGGCCGGGGAGAGCCCGGGGATGGCAATCACAAACCACGGCCTTATTTAGGTGGGAAAAGCCTTTGGGGCCATCAAATCCAACATTAGCCCAGCGCTGGCTGCACCCCGCGGCTCTGTGGGGGTGGGATTTCAGGGATTTCAGGGATTTCAGGGATTTCAGGGATTTCAGGGATGTTTTCCCTCGGCGTTGCTGCCGGATGCTTTGCCCCCATCTGGAGAGGAGCGGGGTGGGCTCTTCCAGCTTCTCCCGGCTCAGCGAGGAGCAGCTGGGAATGCAGAGGGGGTGGCACCGTGGGCTGATATTCCACTTGGGAGCTGCAGTTGGAAGAGTCTCACCCCCGTCAGTCCCGCGGGAGGAGCGGGAGGCGCTGGAACAATCCCGCTTTGTTTAACCCCAAAAAAATCCCCCCAAAAAATAAACCCTGCACATGATGGAGCTTAAATCCCACACTGGAAAAGCCGGGAGCAGCACATGCCTGGCTGGGGATGGATGTGGCATTCCTGGTGACACTGGGGGACACTTGGGATAGATGTGACACTCCTGGTGTCACCAGAGGACACTCAGGATGGATGTCACACTCCCAGGAGCACCCTTGGTGACACCAGGGGACACTCGGGATGGATGTCACACTCCCAGGAGCACCCTTGGTGACATCAGGGGACACTCGGGATGGTTGTGACACCCCTGGTGACACCAGGGGACACTCGGGATGGTTGTGTCACCCCTGGTGACACCAGGGGACACTTGGGATGGATGTGACACCCCTGGTGACACCAGGGGACACTCAGGATGGTTGGGACACTCCTGGTGACACCAGGGAACACTTGGGATGGATGTGACACCCCTGGTGACACCAGAGGACACTTGGGATGGATGTGACATTACCAGGAGCACCCTTGGTGTCACCAGGGGACACTCGGGATGGTTGTGACACTCCTGGTGACACCAGGGGACACTCAGGACCCTCCCTCCTGCTCCAGGGTGTCCGTAGGAGCTGAGATCCTGTTCTGCAGGGAAGGCTGCTCGGTGGCCGTGGACACGGGGGCCTCCTACATCACCGGCCCCGCCGGCCCCGTGTCCGTGCTCATGAAAGCCATCGGGGCCACCGAGGTGGCCGAGGGAGAGGTGAGTGACCGCCAGCCCGGCCCCGTGTCCCCACGGGCCACCTGGCCCCGTCCCAGCGCTGTCCCCTGCCCCTGCAGTACGTGGTGGACTGCGAGCAGGTGCCTCAGCTGCCCAACATCTCCTTCCACCTGGGAGGGAAGGTTTACGGCCTCAGCGGCCCGGCCTACGTCCTGCGGGTGAGTGTCCTGGATCCCCCAAATCAGCCAGAATCTGCCCCAAAATGACGCTCCTTCTTTTCCCCTCAAACCCTTTTGTTGGGTGGAGGTGTCCACGTGAGGCAGGCCGAGCTGTCCCTGCTTCCTGGGGTGGTCTGGGGGGGATTTGGGGTGAGCAGGGACAGGCAGGGATGGTTTTTGCTGGAATTTGGATATCAGGAAAGGCTTCGCACCCCGAGGGTGGGTGGACGCTGGGACAGCGCGAGCCAAGAGTTCACAGAGGGTTTGGACAACACCCCCAGGCACAGGGTGGGATTTTTGGGGTGGTCTGCGCAGGGAAAGGAGCCGGTCCCGGTGATCCTCGTCAGGATATTCCGTGATTCCCGAGGAAGGAACACGGCGGGTGTGGAGCTGGAGCCCGGTGACACTGGGATCCTCCTCCATCACCCCGCGGCTCTCCTCCTGGCAGCAATCCCAGTACGGGGAGGACGTGTGCGTGGTGGCTTTCTCCGGGCTGGACATTCCCCCTCCGGCCGGTCCCCTCTGGATCCTGGGCGCCACCTTCATCGGTCACTACTACACCAAATTCGACCGGCGCCACAACCGCATCGGCTTCGCCAGCGCCCGCTGAGGGCCCGGGGGGACCCGGGGGGACCCGGGAGGATCCGGGGGGGGATCCGGGGGTGGAGAACCAGCCCCGAGGAGCTGCCGGAGCCCCGGGAAGCAGCGAGAGAACAGCAGCTCCCTCCCAGCTCTGCCACCTCCTCTCTGTCACTGCAGCGGCTCCCAAACCTCGCCCGCTCCCACTCCCAAACCCCCGCGCTGCTTCCCGGGAGCTTCTCCTGCTGCCGAGAGCTGAGCCTGGAGCGGGGCTGGCAATCCCAGCGGGATCCTGCGGCCGGAGCGGCCCCTCCGGGCGCTTTTAGGATGATGTGCAAGGCCAGGAGCAGCACTCAGTGGTTGAGGGATGGTCCGCGGCTGTTCGTGCCCGTTCCTAAATAGCGGGGGGAAATAATCCGTGTTTAATGATAGTTTTAGCCGGTGTTAGCCCCGCCCCTCTTCATGAATTTGATATTAAACAATTTAAAGCAACAGGAGGCTGAGTGCGGGGAGTTGCAGAGGGGGGGGATCAGACGCTTTTATTGAGGGAACTGGGCCACAAATGTCCCTGTGCCAGGAGTCACCGCTTGGTTTGGGTCCTTGCAGCCCATCTGGGTGCAGCGCCCTCCCAGCTCCTGCGGGCAAATCAAGGGCTCTGCAAAGCTCTTCCTGCAGATGGGACAGTGCCAGGAGCCCTTGGTGTCGCCCTGGGGACAGGGCTGGGGCTGTGCCTCACCTCTGCCGCGGCACTCCGGGGAGGGGACAGTGCCTGCGGGTCACACAGGACGGTGGCTCCTGTCCCAGGACCTGTTTGCATGGAAAAGCAGAGGTTTTTCTCTGCCCTGGACATGGAGATGCCCCTGTGCCGGGGGCCATTCCCAGTTCCAGCCCTGCACCGCGGATCCGAGCGCTCCCCAACGCCGAGGGAACACGGTCCCGCCTCCAGTTTGACCAGTTCGGGTGACTGGGAACGCCACGATCCTCGGGGAAAGCTGCTCCTGGGGCAGAGCCTGGAGCGAACCAGGATCTCACCATGGAAGAGCAGCCAGCAGGGACCGATGACGGATTCCCAGCGCTGATGAACCCCAGAGCTGCCAAATTCCCTCTCGGCTTCAGGGAAATTTGGGATGGGGATGCTGCTGCCAGCACCGAGCCAGCGGCTGCTGTGTGACGCTTCCAGCACCTCCCCACAGCTCCCAGCCCTTCCTCCAGCCCGGATCCTCATCCCTGCCCCATTCCCAGCCCGGATCCTCATCCCAGCCCGGATCCTCATCCCAGCCCCGTTCCCAGCCTGGATCCTCATCCCAGCTCTGTTCCCAGCCCGTATCCTCATCCCAGCCCCGTTCCCAGCCTGGATCCTCATCCCAGCCCTGTCCCCAGCCCGGATCCTCATCCCTGCCCCGTTCCCAGCCCGGATCCTCATCCCAGCCCCGTTCCCAGCCCGGATCCTCATCCCAGTCCTGTTCCCAGCCCGGATCCTCATCCCTGCCCCGTTCCCAGCCCGGATCCTCATCCCTGCCCCGTTCCCAGCCCCGTTCCCAGCCTGGATCCTCATCCCAGCCCTGTTCCCAGTCCAGATCCTCATCCCAGCCCCGTTCCCAGCCCCGTTCCCAGCCCGGATCCTCATCCCAGCCCTGCCCCACGGCAGCCCCAGAGAGGGGAGGATGCGGCTGGGGCGGATGTTTGTCCCCTCCTGGGAGCTTCTCCGCAGCCGTGGAGCGTTTGAAGCTCCTCGTGCTGGGCTGCCCAACCCCGGAGGCTCCCCGGATGGGAAATTCAGGCTCCTGTGGGTGCACTGTGGCTTTTTCTGTCACCTCCGACACCGGGGTGGTGGCAGTGGCTCTTCAGGGCCCAGGGGTGGAGGGAAGGGACGAATATCTCCCCTCATCCAGCATTTCCTGAGCCGCTCATCAGCACAGGAAACCCCGGGAGCTGGGAAGCAGCGGCAGAGAGGGATTGGACCATCAGGAAAGAGGGAACTGAACTCAGGGCTGAAGCTACATCCACAACCAGGATGGGCAGAGATGCTCGGTGAGAGTCTCCCCTTCCTACCGGAGGGAAATCCAGCTTGGAAATTTCTAACCCTCCTCTGTCCTGTTCTCCACAGCCAAGGCTCAGGTCTGGGGAGGACTCGATGAACATCAAGGTGACTTCAGCCCCCACCACTCCTTCTGCCACATCCCTCGGCTGGAAAACGCTCGGCCTGGCCTAAACCGGGATGTTTGTTTCCTGGGGCCCGTTCTATTCCGATTCTGAGTTAAAAACCTCCCGGTGCCGCTGCCGGGCCCCTTAAGCCGGCCTATTAACACCTCTAATCGCCTGCTCCAGGGGCAATTTCCCGCTGGATGCGGCGGCCCTGCCTGCGGGGCTCCGCTAGCCCGGATTAGATCGTTCCGGCCGAGCAATTAGGCCACGCTCAGCCCTGCAAAGCGCGGCAGCAATTATGCCCGTCCTATTAACACTGACAGGGCTGACGCTATTTTTAGAAACTGCCCGGCGGGGTTTTTGTCCCCCCGCCTCCCCTTCCTTAAATGATTTTTCCCCAGGTCTCCATGGTCCATTGGGCTGATTTCAGGAACTTTGGAGGGGGCATTCTCCTCTGCCGGCCGTGTGACGCTGTAATTTCCTCTGATAATGAAGCCGCCTCCGGGGGCTCTGCCAGCAGGAAAATCCCGCTCTGTCTTCACCCCCGAAACCTCTTCCCAACCCAGCTGTGAATCCCTATGGAAGCCGGTGCCCGGAGGGTGAGATGGGAGAAGTTATCCCGGGGGGATCCATCCTGCCTGGAGCCCTGGGAGCTGGAGCTCATCCCGTGCGTGGCATCCTCATCTTTTTTAACCCCAAAGGGAGGGAGTGGGGGCTGCGAGGAGCTCCCCGGGATGGCGGCGGGGCTCAGGGTGTGGGTGGATAGATGGATGGATGGATGGATGGATGGACGGACGGACACTGGGGTACAGGACACCAGCTGCAGGTGCGGCGGGGGCGCTCCCGGTCCCGCTGCGGATCCTCTGGGATGGCTTTGTGCTTCCCGGAATGGATGGGGAAGGTATCCGGGCAGGAGGCACCGGCAGCAGGTGCGGAGGGGGGATCTCGGTGCGGGGCGGCTGCTCGGGAGTGGCTGAGGGGCTCCGGGAATGGGTGGGGGAGGCACCGACAGCAGGTGCGGCAGAGCCGGGTCCCGGTGCCGGTCGGGCGGGGCTCCCTTGCCCGGGATGCCGGTGCCGGTCGGGGGTGGATGGAATGCTCCATCCCGGTGCGGACCCACTGCCCAGGATGCGATCCCGGTCGGGCTCCGGCAGCCTGGGGTCCCGGTGCGGGCGGGGAGCGGGTCCGCCGATACCGGTGCGGATCCGGTGCGGGTCTCGGTGCGCGCGGGATGCGGGTCCCGCCCTGAGAGCGATGCCAGTCCCCGTGGGATGCGGATCCCCTGCACGCGGTGCCGGTGCCGGCAGGATGCGGATCCCCGGTCTGGGAGGTCGGTCCCGGTAGGACGCAGCTCCCCTTCCCCGGGATGCCGGCGCCGGTGGGATGCGGGTCCCTGCCCCCGGTGCCGGTGCCGGTAGGATGCGGGTCCCTGCCCCCGGTGCCGGTGGGATGCGGATCCCTTCTCCCGGTGCCGGTGCCGGTGGGATGAGGGTCCCTTCCCCCGGTGCCGGTGCCGGTGGGATGCGGGTCCCTGCCCCCGGTGCCGGTGCGGGCGCTGCCGGCGCTGCCGGGGAGGCGGGCGGGAGGCGGGCCGGTGACTCATGGCTTCCCAACGGCGGCGGCTCCTCCCCGCGGCCGCCGGCCCCGCGCAGCCCCCGGCACATGGGCCGCGGCTCCGGCAGCGCGGAGCTGGCCATGGCCGCACCGCCCGCCCGCTGCCCCGACTGCCCGCGGCCGGAGCGGGGGGGCGGCGGCGGGACCCCCGCCGTGCCACACCTCGGCATTGCGGTGGACGAGGGGGACGTGCTTCCCGGGGCGCTGCGGATCGTGCGGCAGCTGAGACCCGCCTGGGAGCCGGCCACGGTGAAGACCAAGGTACGGGGGGGGACCCCGCGCCGGCACCGGGAGAACCGGCAGCCGCTCCCCCGCGGGGATCGCCCGGTGGGGCTGCAGAGCCCGGCTGGGGTGGGGTTATGGGGTTACAGGGTCTGGCTGTGGGGGCTGCGGTGCTCACCCCGGCGGGGTGTGGGGTCAGCTCAAGGGGGGCTGCGGGGCTTAGCCTGGGGGGCTATGGGGTCTGCCCCAGAGGAGTTGTGGGGCTCAGCTTGGGGGGTCCATCCTAGGGGGCTGTGGGGTTCACCATGGGGGGCTCTAGGACCTGCCCCAGAGGATGTGGCACTCTGCACCCCCCACCCCTGGCTCTCCCCTCTGCTCTCAGAACGTTACCGAGGGTCCATCAGCTGCGACCCCCCATCGCACACCCCCCAACGAGGTTTAGGGACCCCTGGGGTGGTCACCGGGCGGTGGCTGTGGGTACCACAGTGTCCCCAGGGTGGCTGCCGAGGTGCCCGCAGGGGTGGCCGCTCTTCTTTGGGATATTTGTAGCTTCCCACCTTCCCCGGGCTGAGCTCCAGTGGGAGCCGGGCACCGGTTCCGGGCTCCGGGCACGGGGCAGAGCTCGGCTGTGCGGAGCTGCCAGGGCTTTGGGAATCCCTCTCCCCCTCCGGCCGGGTCTGGGGTGACACAGGCTGGTGGCGCCTGTGCCCTCGGCCGTGCCCTGGCGCTGGGCACCGGAGCGCGGAGGGGCAGGCACCGAGTGCCCTTAAATGCCTGCACGTGAGCGAGCGTCCCCTCCGAGGGCACACTCTTCCCGTCATTAAAAATGTATTAATAGCCGAGCGTAATGAAATACAAGAAGCTGCAGGAAAAGCCATCTGAAAAGGGCAGATGGCAACGGGCAGGAAGCTGGGAGTTGGAGTTTGCAGGGGCAGGAAATGTCTCGCTCTGCTCGCGGAGCTCGGTGGTTGTGCAGGGACCCCGCTCTGTGGTATCCAGGCTCCGCAGGGGTCAGTGTTCAACAGCAGCTCGGGTGTGCGTGCGTGTGTTTTTAATTAAAATGAAAAAAAAAAAAAAATGAAAAAAAAAAAACACTTAGGAGTTGAGGGAAAACCCTCCCGTTGCGTTTCCCTCGGCTGCTTTCCCTCCTCCCGCGTTTCCCCTCGCAGGAGCCGCTCGGGATGGGAAGGAGCGGGCCGGGGGCCTGAGCTGGTTCCCATTAGCGATCCCATTCCCTCGCCCGGTGCCCCGGAGCGCTGCCCCGCTGCCAGCGCCCCGCGGGGGCTGTACCAGGCTGTGCCGGTGGCACGGGAAAATCTCCCGGAGCTCAGGAGCACCGCGAGAAGGGTCTGGCTGCCCCTGCGATCCAGGTTGTGCCCGCTTCCCAGGGCTCCTGCTCCTCATCCCCAGGAAGGTCCGTGCCGCGGAGCCACCCACGTTCCCAGGGAAGCACAAACTCCTCCATCCACCCCTCAGCCGGAGATAAGAGCGGCAGCGGAGCCGATGTTGGGTTGGTGTTTTTTAGCCCGGATTTGGCACCAAGTTGCCCGGCTGGAGCCCAGCCGCGGGCCGGAGGTGCCGAGGCAGCGAGCACGGGGTCGTTTTGGGAATGCTGAGGGATTCTCCCGGCAGGTGCAGCACCAGGAGTTGGATTTTGCTGCTTCACCCCAGCGCTTCGGCGCAAGTCTCGCTTTGCCTTTAATCCCTGCAAAGTTCGGGGGGTGTCACTCCTTCCCTCTGTCCCTGCCGTCCTCCGGCTGCAGGAGGGAAGGATTTGGGGTGGCTGCAGCCTGGATCCACGGGGAACAGCACCGGGAATCCCCCAGGCAGCCGTAGCCGATCCTTGGGAGCCGGCGGAGCTGCCACCCCCCAACCCAGCGAGTCCCTGCAGGCCACCGAGCAGCCACGTGTGCGTCTCCGAAGTTGGCGGCCTGGAATTCAGGGGGGGATCAGGCTCAGTAATCCCGTTAAACCTGCTGGAAAGGGCTGCCCGGGCTGTGGGGCAGCGAAACAAAGCAGAACACCAGGATTTCGCTCCGTGTGGAGCCGCTCACCTGCGGCCAAGCCGTGTGTGGCCGACGGTGGCACCTGCATGGACGGGGTGTGACAGCTCTGCTGCCTCAGTTTCCAGCCTCTGGGGCCTGGCAGGACAAGAGGAGGAGGGAGCCGAGCCCCGTGGTGAAACCCAGATTGTCAGCTCGGGGAAAAGCATCTTGAGAAGGTTCAGCCGCAGCTGAGGGGCAGAAGCCATGAGGATGGGGCAGCTGCTCGCCCCAAATCCAGCTGTGGAATGGGGGTGTCAACCCCGTCTGACTCGGGGGGTCTCATTCCCGTGCCTGGAGTCTCCCTCGGGAGGCTGCTCCAGGAGCCCTATATATAGGAGCCCTATAGGGGAGCGTGGGTTGCTGAGTGGGATGTCTAAAATTATCCGTCCCATCCCCGAGCTCCACGGCTGCCGGAGCAGGAGCCCCTCTCCCCCCTCCTGCTCCAGCTCCCCGATCCCACAGGGATGAAGGAATCCTTCCCACGGGGAGCCGCAGCACCCCGGAGTGCCCCGCTTGGAGCTGGCACGGGGGACAGCGGGGATGATTTTCTGTGGGGTGACAGCCCCAAACCCTCTCAATGCCCTGGAGGTGCCCAGAATCCCGGCGGGATGATGGAACCCTTCCCAGGGGGAGCCGCAGCACTGCAGGGACAACGGGACAGGGCTTTCCCGTGGGGTGACACATCCCTAAACCCCCTGGATGCCGCGGAGGTGCCCGAAATGCCGGCGGGATGGGGCGCGGGGCCCGGCGCGGGCGGCAGCAGCCCCGGCATGTGCGCGGGCAGGCGGCCAAGGCGGAGCGCCGGGAGAACAAAACTCCCTTTCCATCTGCGAGGAGCCATCAGAGCGGTGACACGAGATGTCCCCAGCAGCGACGTCCCCGCCTATCAGCGCCCCGGCCCGCGGGGAGGGTCGGAGGAGGGGATGGGGCGGTGGTGTTTGCTCCGGGTTTGTTTTCAAGCCTCGTTGGGCGGTTTACTTATTTATTTATTTTAATTATTTAATTTTTTTTAAATTTTCGTGCCAATTCACCCTGATTTTTTTTTTTTTTTTTTTTTTTTTTTCCCGGGAGCGATTCCCAGGGCTGCTCCCGTGCCAAGAGAGTTGTTCCTGAGCTGTCCCTGACATATTCCTGAGATATCCCTGAGCTGTTCCTGAGATGTTCCTGAGTTATTCCTTAGCTATCCCTGAGATATCCCTGAGATATTAATGAGATATTCCTGAGCTATCCCTGAGCTATCCTTGAGATATTCCTGAGATATTCCTGAACCATCCCTGAGCTATCCCTGAGATATTCCTGAGCTATCCCCGAGATATCCCTGTGCTATCCCTGAGACATTCCTGAACTATCCCTGAGCTGTTCCTGAGCTATCCCTGAGCTGTTCCTGAGCTCCCAGGTGTAAAACCGCAGGATTCCCACCCAAACCACCACCTCGAGCCCTTTCAAACCCCCCCAGGAGCTCTCCTGCCAGCGTTGCCTCGCTCCTTCTCCTCATTCTTACCATCGCCACGAGGTTTTCCCACCTCTGGGAAGAGGACAGGGGATTCCCCCCGTTATCCAGGTGTCACCTCCGCCGTGTTTGTCCCCACGCAGCTCTTCACTGACGGCATCACCAACAAGCTGGTGGCCTGCTACACGGACGAGGGCATGGCGGACGCGCTGCTGGTGCGCGTGTACGGCAGGAAAACGGAGCTGCTGGTGGACAGGGAGACGGAGCTGAGGAATTTCCAGGTGCTGCGCGCCCACGGCTGCGCCCCCGACCTCTACTGCGCCTTCCAGAACGGGCTCTGCTACCAATTCCTGCCGGGAATCGCGCTGGGGCCCGACCACGTGCGGGATCCTCACATCTTCAGGTGTGCGGCGCCTCCCGTGGGGGGGAGTTGGGGGTTTTCCAGGGAAAAGCAGCTCGAGAAAATTCCCGGTTTTCTGGGGATTTGCTCCGTGTTTCCAGCTCTCCCCTCACTGCCCGGGGTGGGGGTCACTGGTGTGCTCAGCCCTGGGGGGTGGTGGGGGATAAATGGGTCAAGTGAGCGCATTTCTAAAGCGTCAGGTTCTGGTGAAGAGAGGTTTCCTGGGAACCTGGAATAAAGGTTTTCTGGGAAGCTGGAATGTCACGGGAAGCAGAGTTTTGGCCTGAATTTGCCCTGGAAATGTGGACTCTGAAATGCTTCAGAGGCTGATCCCTGACGCAGAATGAGGGGTCAGCTGTGCTAACCCTGCAGGACTTTCAGGGAATCCCTCTGAAGACACCCCAAAGCTCTTTTTTTTTTGGGGGGGGGAGGAGGGATTTCGAGGATTTGGGATCACCTCTCACCCCTCTCCTGTGCTCCGTGCCAGGCTGGTGGCCCGGGAGATGGCCCGAGTCCACGCCATCCACGCCAACGGGAGCCTCCCCAGGCCCATCCTGTGGCAGAAGCTGCACAAATACCTCAGCCTGGTGAAGACGGAGCTCAGCCCAAAGGTATCCAACGCCAGGTAAAGGCAGAGGGATCCCCCAGAGCCAGGCTCTGCCTCGGGCGCCAGGCAGGAGCAGGGGGCAGAGCCCTGGTTCCCAGGTAAAGGTTCCCAGGTAAAGATTCCCAGATTCCCTCTGCGGGTTTGGGGCTGGATCCGCTGCTGTATCCCTCCCGCAGCCCCGGGAACAGCTCCAGCCCCTTCCTGCCGCCAGTTTTGGGGAGGATTTCAGCTCTTTTGGAGCTCTGGGATGTGTCTGTGCAGCATCCACCCAGAGCCGCAGCCTCCCACTGCTGTAACAATCCTCCTCCTCCTCCTCCCGGGAATTTAAACCCAGAATAAGCCCGAGCTCAAGCCCTGCTGAGCTGACGATGAATCCTAGAAACCCAGCCTAGATCGGAACACCCAGTCCCCACTCCCAACCATTTTTTGGGGCGGCCGGGTGAGTGTTGGGGTGTCTGGGAAGGATTCGGGCAGCCCCAAGAGGCGGAGGAGGTGAACGAACCGCAGGCAGGGCAATCATTAACCCGCGCCAGGAGCCGGCCGGGCTTTTCTCAGCCGCGGGCAGACTTTACCCACCCTGCGCCTTCAGCGCGGCCAATTAGGCAATCATTAACGAGCTCTCTTCTTGGAAGCCGCACTCCTGAGCTTACCGAGAGGCCCCGCCTGAGTCCAAAACACCCCCGTGGCCCCGGGGGTTCGCCGGGTGCTCGGGGAACGAGCGCTGGGTGGATCTGGGGCGTGGGCCGGGTGGGTTTTGGGGACAAGGGACGCGCTGAGGGCGAGCTGTGCTGTCTGCCTGGGTGCCAAACCTGGCCCCCTCCCCAAAAACCAGCCTCGTTAGCCGCGCTTTGTGTCATTAACGGGGTGGTTTGTAGGGCATGAGAGGGAAACGCTGTCCCCGAGCCCCCAGGGAAGTGCTGGAAGCTGGGGAAATTCTGCCCCTGAGCCCCAGAGAAGCTCAATTCTGCCCCTGAGCCCCCAGGGAAGCTCAATTCTATCCCTGAGCCCCCAGGGAAGTGCTGGAAGCTGGGGAAAGTCTGCCCCTGAGCCCCAGAGAAGCTCAATTCTATCCCTGAGCCCCTAGGGAAGTGCTAGAAGCTGGGGAAATTCTGCCCCTGAGCCCCAGGGAAGTGCTGGAAGCTGGGGAAATTCTGCCCCTGAGCCCCAGGGAAGTGCTGGAAGCTGGGGAAATTCTGCCCCTGAGCCCCCAGGGAAGCTCAATTCTGCCCCTGAGCCCCCAGGGAAGCGCTGTGAGCCAGGGAAACGCCACCCCCGAGCCCCAGGGAGGCTCCCCCAGAGCAGCAGCGGTGCCACCCTGTTCCTCCTGTCCCTTCGGGCAGCCTCCCGCAGGACGTGCCCAGCCCGGAGGCGCTGGAGCAGGAGCTGGCCTGGATGGAGGAGACGCTGCCGCAGCTGGGCTCGCCCGTGGTGCTGTGCCACAACGACCTCCTGTGCAAGAACATCATCTACGACCGGACACGAGGTCTGTGAGCCCGGGGGTGTCCCTGGGCCACCCCCCGGGGGGTGTCACCTCTGTCCCCCCACCCCTCCCCTCACGGCCGCCGCTCTTGCCCGCGCAGAGCACGTTCGCTTCATCGACTACGAGTACACGGGCTACAACTACCAGGCCTTCGACATCGGGAACCATTTCAATGAGTTCGCAGGTTGGGATGAGCTGGGAGACGCCAAAAGTGCCCCCCATCCCTGGCCTGGGGTGGCCTCATCCCTGGGGGTGGAGGAGGGAGCTGGATCCCCGCTCCCGTGGTGGGAAATGAGGTGTCCCTGCTACGGGGGGTGGAGGAGGGAGTTTTATTCCCAGTCCCCGGTGGGAAATGGGGTCTCTTTACCCCTGGGGTGGAGGGAGGGAGTTTTATTCCCGGTCCCGGGGTGGGAAATGGGGCTGACCCTGGGGATGGAAGATGGAATTGTATCCCCAGTCCCGTGGTGGAAAATGAGGTGGTCTTGGGGTGTCCCCATCCCTGGGAGTGGAGGAGGGAGTTTTATCCCCAGTCCTGGGGTGGGAAATGGGGTTCTCACATCCCTGGGAAGGAGGAGGGAGTTAAATCCCCAGTTCTGGGGTGGGAAATGGGGTCTTTTCATCCCTGGGAGTGGAGGAGGGAGTTTTATCCCCAGTCCCGGAGTGGGAAATGGGAAATTTCCTGTCCTGGGTTCTCCTGATCCCTGAGGATGGAAGAGGGAGTTGAATCCCCAATCCCATGATGGGAGTTGGGGTCTCCCCATCCCACACCCCAAATCCCAGCAGGAAATGGGGCTGCCCGTGGTCGGAGCGGGGTCTCTGCCACTCTTTGGGCACCTGGGCTGCCGTTCCTGGCTCCGAGGCTGGCTGGGCTTTGTGCCTGGCTGGGGTTGTGCTCTCCTCGCTCTGCCGTGGAGATTCCAACCCCTCTGTGTCCCCTTCCTGTCCCCTCCCTGCCCCTCCGTGTCCCCCTGACCCCCCAGGTGTGAAGGAGGTGGATTATGGCCTCTACCCCAGCAAGGAGACGCAGCTGCAGTGGCTGCGCTCCTACCTGCAGGCCTACAAGGAGCTCACCCAAGGACACCCAGGTGACACCCAGGGACACCCAGGTGACACCCAGGGACACCCAGGTGACACCCAGGTGTCCGAGGAGGAGCTGGAAACTCTCTACGTGCAAGTGAACAAGTTCTCCTTGGTGAGTGGCAGAGGCGGAAGGAGCCGGCCTGGCTCCGGGGCTGAAAACATGACCCAGGGGATGAGTTTGTCTCTGCTCTCGGGCTTCCAGCTGTGAGCTGGAGAGGATGGGGCTGCTGGTGCCAGCCTGGGAGCTTGGGGACATCGGGGACAGGCTGTCCCAGGGGCCTGGCAGCGCCTCAGGGGGCTGAGCCCCCGGGCAAGGTCACAGGGCAGCGCTGGGGACAGCGCGTGTCCGACAGCCGCGGCCTTGGGCAGCCCTGCAGCCGCGGCCTGGCGTGAGGAAATCCTCTTTGCCAGCTGCCAGGGCCGGCCCCAGCCGGATTTCTGGAAATTTCAGGTGGAATACCCTCTGTTTTTCCTGGCTGGAGCTGCCGGGAGGGCAGTGCAGGGGGTGGGACCCCACTTCCAGCATCCTCCCTGCTGCCATCCTCGCTCCAGCCAGGAGCGGCCTCTGGAGGGCACAAAAATCCCAATGTGGGCCAATCCCAACCTCTGGAGGGCACAGAAATCCTGGTGTGGGCCAGCCCCAACCTCTGGAGGGCACAGAAATCCCAATGTGGGCCAGTCCCAACCTCTGGAGGGCACAGAAATCCCAATGTGGGCCAATCCCAACATCTGGAGGGCACAGAAATCCCGGTGTGGGCCAGCCCCAACCTCAGGAGGGCACAAAAATCCCGGTGTGGGCCAGCCCCAACCTCTGGAGGGCACAGAAATCCTGGTGTGGGCCAGCCCCAACCTCTGGAGGGCACAAAAATCCCAATGTGGGCCAGTCCCAACATCTGGAGGGCACAGAAATCCCGGTGTGGGCCAGCCCCAGCCTCTGGAGGGCACGGAAATCCAAATGTGGGCCAGCTCCACTCCGTGTCCCGTCCTTGTCACGGCCCTGGGAATTCCGGGCCCCAGCCAGGAGGGGCCCGAGTGTTCCTGGCCATTCCCTGATCCTTGTTCTGCCCCTTGCAGGCGTCACATTTCCTCTGGGCCTGCTGGGGCCTGATCCAGGATAAATACTCGACCATAGACTTTAATTTCTTAAGGTGAGTCCACCTCGGCTGCTCGCAGGGGGAAATGAGTGGAGCAGGAGGATCCCGATGGTCCCTGGGGAGGATCCCGATGGTCCCTGGGGAGGATCCCGATGATCCCTGGGGAGGATCCCAATGGTCCCTGGAGGATCCTGGGGAGGATCCAAATGATCCCTGGGAGGATCCCAGGGAAGATCCCAATGATCCCTGGGGAGGATCCCAGGGAAGATCCCGGTGATCCCTGAAGAGGATCCCAGCAGTCCCTGGGGAGGATCCTGGGGAGGATCCCGGTGATCCCTGAGGAGGATCCCGGCGATCCCTGAGGAGGATCCCGGCGATCCCTGAGGAGGATCCCAGTGATCCCTGAGGAAGATCCCGGTGATCCCTGAGGAGGATCCCAGTGATCCCTGAGGAGGATCCCGGCGATCCCTGAGGAGGATCCCGGTGATCCCTGAGGAGGATCCCGGTGGTCCCTGGGGACACGAGTGGCTCAGAGCTGTCCCTTCTCTCTCGGCAGATATGCAAAGCTAAGGTTTAAACAGTATTTCAAGATGAAGCCGGTGGTCACAGCCCTGCAGGTCCCCAAATAGGTGCCACCACCCCGAGCTCTGTCCTGGCCGTGTCCTCGCACCCCCCTCGCCCCTTGCCCAGCCCAGCCAGGGTCCAGGGCCGGTCCTGCCGGTGGCACGGGGGACAAGAGGAGCTCTGCCCAGGCCGCCACCGCTTCCAGGAGAGCCTGGACACCCCCAAGACTGGACCATGAGATGCTGGAGAGGACCACGGCCCCGGCGAGGCCCCAGCCCACGCGAGGAAGCTTCACCATCGCCTTAAGGCTGAGCCCGGCTCGGCCCCGGTGCCCGGCAGGTCGGTGCCCTGCTGGCGCTGCTGGCCTGGCACTGCCCGCTGTCCCCAAGGAGGGACACGGTGTCACCCCGTCTGCTCGGGAGCCCCCAGAGCCGCCTGCTCACCTTGGTCACCCCTTTGCTGCGCCCTCTGTGCCCTCCTGCCCTGCCAGGTGCCACCAGGGTGCCACCCCCAAACCAGCCCCGTCCCGGCTCCCTGCTGGCCCCAGCTGCGGGAGCGTTTGCCACGAGGGTCTGGGACCAGTGGGGTGGGCACTGGCTGCTCACCCCCCGTGCTGTGCCCAGTCCCAGCTGTCCCTGTCTGTCCCCACCGCTGTCCCTGCCTGTCCCCACCGTCCCCCTTAGCTCGGTGGTTTCCCCCCTGTGCTGCCCGAGCGGCTTCTCAGCTCTGCCTTTGCCCTCTCCCCCAGGGTCGGGAGGTGCAGGTGGGGTGCAGGGGGGGTCCGTCCTGCCTGTCCCCACCCCTGTCCTCCTCCCATGGCCGTGTCCCCATCCCCGGGAGGGGGTGGCACGGATCTGCCCCGCTCCAGGACCAGGCACGGCTTCAGCCCCTGCCCTGCTGAGCCTCGGGCAGCTCCTGGCAGTGGCTGCGCCTTGGAGCCTTGGCTGTGGGGACGAGGTGACTGTCCCCTCTCTGGGCAGGGGGACGAGGTGACTGTCCCCTCTCTGGGCACAGGGACGAGGTGACTGTCCCCTCTCTGGGCACGGGGACGAGGTGACTGTCCCCTCTCTGGGCACAGGGACCTCCCCCAGCCACAACCAGGGCTGCTGGCGCGTCCGTGTTTGTTTTGGTGCGAAATAAAAGCTGCTGGTAGCTGGAGTTTGGGGGTGGTGGAGCTGGGGGACCTCGTCCTGAGGTCTGGGGGTGCTCCTGTCCCTTCTGTGCCTGGAGATGTCCCCATCCAAGCCTCGCTCCTGATCTGGTGAAGTCCAGGCCCTGCTCTCTGCTCCAAAAAGTCACTTTTATTGTGCCAAGGGACAGGGGGAGGAACGATTGTAAACAGGGATGTGAAATATACAGGTTAAGTTACTCGTTGTCTTATTAACAAAATAAAGCTCTATCTATATTTACAATCTTTAAAAAACAAAACAAAACAACAACAAAAAAGAAAATAGAAAGAAAAATAAGTGGAAGAGAGACAGGAAGAGCTGCAGCTGTGGGGAGGGGGCACCTCTGCTTCCAGTCCCTCTGCAGCCCAGCCCCGGGGCTGGGACCCCTCCCCAGGGACCCCGCTCCTGCCGCAGGGAGCCCAGCCCCGGCACAGGGAGGTGGAATGGAATAAATAAAGCACTGACAGCGGCAGGAGGGGAGGGGAGATGTCCCCTGGCGTAAAGGATGTCCCCACGGCAGTGCCCTCATGACAGTGTCCCCAGCAGTGTTCCCATGGCAGTGTCCCCAGCAGTGTCCCCAGCAGTGTCCCCATGGCAGTGTCCCCACAGCAGTGTCCCCAGGAGTGTCCCCAGCAGTGTTCCCATGACAATGTCCCCAGCAGTGTCCCCATGGCAGTGTCCCCACAGCAGTGTCCCCACAGCAGTGTCCCCAAGGCAGTGTCCCCACAGCAGTGTCCCCATGGCAGTGTCCCCAAGGCAGTGTCCCCACGGCAGTGTCACCAGCAGTGTCCCCACAGCAGTGTCCCCACGGCAGTGTCCCCAAGGCAGTGTCCCCACGGCAGTGTCACCAGCAGTGTCCCCACAGCAGTGTCCCCACGGCAGTGTCCCCAAGGCAGTGTCCCCAACACCCAGCTGATGCTGCTGGGCTTTGCATCCCCCCTCGGGCTGGGGACAGGGAGACCGAGGCTGCTGCCCGCTTTGTGCAGCCTGGAGCCCGGGTGGCTGTGGCTCCTGTGGTGTCCCCAACGTTGTCCCTGTCCCCGTGGTGTCCCCAACATTGACCCTGTCACCGTGGTGTCCCCAACATTGACCCTGTCACCATGGTGTCCCCACTCTGTCCCCGTCCCCGACACGTCCCCAGCATTGTCCCTGTCCCCACGGTGTCCCCACTCTGTCCCTGTCCCTGCAGTGTCCCTGGCTTGGGGCCTGTTCCCGGCTGCTGCCACAGGGAGGTGCCGGAGCCCCGCGCACGGAGGGACACCGGGGGTGCACAGCTGGACACTGCACACACAGCTGGACACTGCACACGCACAGCTGGACACTGCACACACACAGCTGGACACTGCGCACACACAGCTGGACACTGCACACACACAGCTGGACACTGCGCACACACAGCTGGACACTGGGCACGCACAGGTGGACACTGCACACACAGCTGGACACTGCACACACACAGCTGGACACTGCACATGCACAGCTGGACACTGGGCACACACAGCTGGACACTGCGCACACACAGCTGGACACTGCACACACACAGCTGGACACTGCACACAGCTGGACACTGCACACACACAGCTGGACACTGCACACAGCTGGACACTGCACACACACAGCTGGACACTGCACACAGCTGGACACTGCACACACACAGCTGGACACTGCACACAGCTGGACACTGCACACACACAGCTGGACACTGCACACAGCTGGACACTGCACACACACAGCTGGACACTGCACACAGCTGGACACTGCACACACACAGCTGGACACTGCACACAGCTGGACACTGCACACACACAGCTGGACACCGTGTGTGCACACCTGGACATTCCACATGCACACCTGGACACCACGCACACCCTGCACATTGCATAAACACACCTGGACACTGCACACACACACACCTGGACACCCCAAACTCACCTGGACACCCCAAACTCTCACCTGGACACCCCCAACTCTCACCTGGACACCCCTCATACTCAGCCACACCTCACTCCAACCCCCCCCAGAAGGGGCTCTGACCCTTTCTAGATAAAAGGTCATTTTTTTCTAAGAATTCCACTTTTTCCCCCAAAATTATTCCTCCCTCTCTCTTACCCTGCAGGGCTCAGGTGGAGCCTGAGCTTCAGGGACAGGTGCCTGGGGGCAGCCGGGCACGTCCCCCCCGAGCGGGGGCTGGCAGGGCAGGAACAGCCCCCGCTTTGTTCCCAAAGTGGGCCAGAGCTGTCAGGAGCACAAAGGGCCCTGAGGAGCCCTTGGCCGGAGCCGGGGCCAGGCTGGAGCTAAAATTGGCTCCGTGGGAATTCACTGGCAGGCTCCAAAGATGGAGCGGGAAGCGCGGCAGGGAGGTCACACCAGGACAGAGGAGGGACGAGCGTGTCCCCATCCCGTGTCCCCACCCCGTGTCCCCACCCCGTGTCCCCAGTCTGTGCCCAGCAGCACAGGTGAGGCTCTCTGGGACCCACAGGTGCTGCAGGGCTGGGAGATGCTCTGGGGAGACCCCCCAGATCCCCTCAGGGGTGACAGCGCAGCAGCCGCATCACCAAATCTCCAGGCTCGGTGGCCTCAGCTCCACGCGCCACTGAAGCAAGACCAAGCCAGCCTTTGCCACCCAAAATTCCAGGTGCCCACCCTCGTGGGACCCCCCTGTGCAGGCGGGCAGCTCTCCCGTGGCTCAGTCCCATCCCGCCAGGACACGCCGCGCCCTCCCGGTGGTGGCACCTGCCACCCCCTCCGCCCTCCCTGTGCCCCCTCAGTCCGTCAGCACCACCAGCTCGCCGTCACTCTTGTCCTCGCCCTCCGAGTCCTCGTCCTCGCTGTAGCGGTACATGTCCCCCTCGGCCACCGAGTGCCCGTCGTCCCCGGTGTCACCGTCCTTGAGGCTGCGGGTGTTGACGATGACGGGCATGGTGGGGTCCACGCCGCGGGGCAGGTAATGCTCCAGGAGGGGCGGGGGCAGCTGGACGCCCACCGGCCGCGGGTACAGCACGTCCGAGGAGCTGGGGTGCACCTGGCTGCCCTGCGGCCTGTGGGACACGGGGGGCGGGCGCTGAGAGGGCAGTGAGGGGTCACGGGGCCACCTGTGGGGGACGTTCTGTGGGGGGCAGGGGGGAACCAACCCCATGGGCACCAGGTGAGAACCTGTCCCATTGACACCAGGTGAGCCCCCACCCCAAGGGCACCAGGTGAGCCCCCAACCATTCCACCAGTGGAGCACCCAGCAGTGTCACCAGGTGAGCTCCCACCAATGTCACCAGGTGAGCCCTCACCCCAGGGAACCAATCCCATGGGCACCAGTGCCTCATCGAACTCAGGTGGGCACAATCCCCACTGGTGCCAGGTGAGGACTTACTCCAATGAAGCCAGGTGGGCACCAACCCCATGATGACCAGGTGAGGCCCTACCCATGTCACCAGGTGAGCCCTCACCCCATGGAACCAGTCCCATGGGCACCAACCCTATGGGCACTAGGTGGGCACCAACCCCATGATGACCAGGTGAGGCCCCACTTATGTCACCAGGTGAACACCCATGTCACCAGGTGGGCCCTCACCCCATGGAACCAATCCCATGGGCACCAGGTAGGCACCAACCCCATGGGCACCAGGTGAGGCCCACCCGTGTCACCAGGTGAGCCCCACCAATGTCACCAGGTGAGCCCTCACCCCATGGAACCAACCCCATGGGCACCAGGTGAGCCTCACCCATGGTGACCAGGTGGGCCCCACCCATGTCACCAGGTGAGCCCCACCCCAGCAGCCACCCCCCAGGGCGGGGCACAGCGCTGTCCCCTATCAATTACCCTATCAGGTATCCCTGCCTGGCGTCCTGGCGCCGGTTCCTCATCAGCGCCTTGTACTCGCCCACGCGCAGCCGCTTGCCCTCCACGATGCAGGTGCGCTTGGGCCGCGGCTTGTATTTGTAATCCGGGTACTTCTCCAGGTGCTGCCGGCTCAGCCGCGCCTGCTCCTCGTAGTACGGCTGCTTCTCCTGGTTGGACATGGATTTCCACCGGGATCCTGCGTGGGGAAGGAGCAGAGCGTGCTCACACCCTGCCTGGGCGAGGATACGGCGGCTGGGAGGAACCCCGAGGTTAATTGGTGCTGATTGATGGATGAATGCTGTTAGTCAATGTCATTCCTTGTGGGATCGGCACCTGGATTTACAGCTGTGCTGGTGGGAGCCACGTGCCGCAGCCGGTTCCACCAGAATATCGGGAACAGCTTCCCTGACCTTCCCCTGGCACCTCCACGGATTCATTCTCTGACCTTCCCTCCTGGGACTCATCCCCTCATTCCCTGAACACCCCTCCATGGACTCATCCCCTCAGGTTCCCTGTCCCAGGTCAGGGATGTCCCAGGATCTCATTCCCATCCCTCCAGGGCATGCAGAGGAGATTCCCCATCCCAAGATCTCATTCCCATCCCTCCAGGGCATGCAGAGGGATTCCCTGTCCCAGGATCTCATTCCCATCCCTCCAGGGGATGCAGAGGGATTCCCTGTCCCAGGATCTCACCCAGGATCTTGCTGATGCTGGAGTTGTGCATGTCTGGGAAGGCCTGCAGGATCTTCCTCCGCTCGTCCTTGGCCCACACCATGAAGGCGTTCATGGGCCGCTTGATGTGGTTGTTGTTCCTGGACTCTGGGAAGTGCCGGGAGCCTGCGAGGGACAGCCGGGATGAGGGCAGGAGCCGGAGAATGGAGCAAACCCGGGATCACCACCACGCTCCCGGCCATCCTCACCATCCATCTCGCAGCTCAGCAGAGCCTCGTCCAGCCGGTGGCCGGGGGTCTCCTCCATCCGCTCCTTCACCGGGGAGGAATCGATCCCAACGTGCTCCTGCAGGACAGCGGGGTCAGGAGGCAGCCCCAGCCCGGGGACGGCTGTGGCTGGTGGCAAGAGGGGACGGTGACCACGCAGAGTGACCCTCACCTTGCGGTAGGGGCTGCTGAGTGACCCCTCCATGGCGGCGCCGTGGCCGTGCAGCAGCTGCCGCGCGTCGTGGATGGCTTTGGTGATGGCATCGCCCTCTCCCAGGAATCCTGGCAGGACATGGCACCCGTCAGTGCCAGCGGTCACCCCACTGACCACTCCCAGCACTGACCCCTGTGGGCACCCATCAGTGCCAGTGGTCACCTCAGTGACCCCCAGAGCACTGACCCCTGTGGGCACCCATCAGTGCCAGCGGTCACCCCGCTGACCGCTCACAGCACTGACCACTATGGGCACCCGTCAGTGCCAGCGGTCACCCCGCTGACCGCTCACAGCACTGACCACTATGGGCACCCGTCAGTGCCAGCGGTCACCCCGCTGACCGCTCACAGCACTGACCACTATGGGCACCCGTCAGTGCCAGCGGTCACCCCGCTGACCGCTCACAGCACTGACCACTATGGGCACCCGTCAGTGCCAGCGGTCACCCCGCTGACCACTCACAGCACTGACCCCTATGGGCACCTCACTGACCACTCACAGCACTGACCCCTATGTACACCCGTCAATGCCAGCAGTCACCCCACTGACCACTCCCAGCACTGACCCTTGTGGGCACCCGTCAATGCCAGCGGTCACCCCGCTGACCACTCACAGCACTGACCCTTGTGGGCACCCGTCAATGCCAGCGGTCACCCCGCTGACCACTCACAGCACTGACCCTTGTGGGCACCTGTCAGTGCCAGCGGTCACCCCACTGACCACTCCCAGCACTGACCCCACCCTGACCACCACAGCTGTGCCCCGAGGGGTGGCACGGCACCCGGGAGCAGCAGAGATGTCACGTGTCCCCCCCAAAACCCCAAAAGGGCGCCTGGGCACGCACCCAGAGGGAGGCTGGACGGGCTGCTCTGCAGCTCCCTGCTGGCCCCGTGGCCCGGCGGCAGCGACTGGCAGCCGCTCATCTTCAAACTGGGCGAACTGGAGGCACTGGGGAGCTCGGAGCCTTTGGGTTTGGCCGTCAGGTTCAGCGGCTGCGAGGTCTCCTGGGGAGGAGGGAGGGATGAGGGGTGAGGAGCTGTCCCCAAACACCCATCCCAGGGTTTGGAGGGGGTTTGGGGCTGTGCCAGGGGTTGAAAAGGGTTTGGGGGCAGTACCAGGGTTTGGAGGGGGTTTTTAGGGCTGTACCAGGGTTTGGAAGGGGTTTGAGGGTTGTATCAGGGCTTAAGGTGGGTTTTGGGGCTGTACCAGGGTTTGGAGGGGGTTTGGGGGCTGTACCAGGTTTTGGGAGGAGGTTTGGGGGCTGTACCAGGGTTTGGGAGCTGTACCAGGGGTTTGGAGGGGGTTTGGGGGCTGTACCAGGGTTTGGGAGGAGGTTTGGGGGCTGTACCAGGGTTTGGGAGCTGTACCAGGGGTTTGGAGGGGG